AATAATACCTTATGAACTAAGCCTCTGCTTTCGAATAACATATGGGTTTATGAAAAACCAGAGAGAGGAATCTTTTTCTTTCTTCTTGCAGGAAGAAAACAATGTGTAGTATCCCTTTAAGAACTCAAGCAGCCTTTTGCCTGCACAAAGTACAAAACTTTTGGGTGAGAGCTACAACCAGAGGACCTCCAGCAAAAGTGAGCAACACTGGGCGGGGACCCTGCTTTCCTCCCTGCTGGGGGTGACCATCTTACAGTGGCTACCTCCCTGTTTGTTTTTTGTTTTTCTGTCTTTTTGAGACAGGGTCTCGCTATGCAGTTCAGGCTGGCCTTGAGCTCACTTTGTAACCTAGGCTTGCCTCGAAATTGCAAGGATCCTCCTGCTTCAGCCTCCCGAGAGCTGGAATTACACCACCATGCCCAGCTAGCTCCCTGTTTAAATGCAGCTACATTAAAGATGGATGCCTGATGACTGAACAAAGCAGCATTTAAAAATTTAAGTAACAGTGTATGAAAACAGACATCCCAATTCTTCTACCTTTTCAGTCATCCTGGTTAAGTAGAATCACTAAGGGAAACGAAATACGGTCTGAGCCATCAAGGGGCTCAGAAAAAATGCAAGTTAAACCATCAAGGGTTTCAATTAGGTGGCTAAGGAAACTGCATGGGGAAGTTCCACCCTTACTTCATAGGAGTTTGAACTAAGCAAGGCCAACAAGTAGCTTTGCCCTCTTCTCCCTATTCAGCTAATAGGTCCAAATATGGAGTCAAGAGGTCCCCCACCCCGCGAGCTTTCTTCTGTGCTTAATGATGCCAGCATGGCTCAGACAGGGATATCTGTCTAACCTGTGTTAGGGTCTCACAAAGGACGCTTTGTGGAAGGAACCCTCAAATCTACCTCTTATGCATGGGACACCGCCTTAAGGAACACAGCCCTAGTTGTCTCCTTTTCTCTCTAGGGCCCAAGACAGCTGGGAAACCAAATAGAACTCTACCATATTATGGGTCACACAACAAATCTAGATAGCTCTGGATCAAAAAATAATACACTTCTTTCCTTTTACAGGCCAAGAAAGTTACTATTGCAGACTCTATCCTCAAAACTTAGATAGTGAGGCAGATTTTGTGATGCCAGCTATTTAATAGGAATCAGCACTCGTGGAAGGCAATGGGGAGAAGGAAGCATAGGCAGAAAGAGAATTAGGGCATACGTCCACGGACAGCTCTGGAGCAAGGAGTACTCATTAGAATTGACCTCCGCTGATCCTTATGCCCTGGTCTTCAGCAGGCTGAGGATGTGCAAGGTGACTTTATGCATTTGAGGCAGCCCTTGAAGAGGCCAACCGCTGAGACGACAAACCCTTCCCTGAAGGGGGACCTGGTTGATATGTCTCCATGTTTTCCATAATCATCCAGTTTAGAATGTTCTGTTTACCATGTGAGAAGATAGCATCGGGATTTGAGGGCGCAGAATGACCTTAGTCAATGAGACATTTACAATCACATTCACCATGGGATAAAAGAAAAGGTCTGTGGCACTCTACGCTCTCATAGACTTATGGTAGAATGGACCAAAACATTTTGTCAATACAGCAAAGACTTGGAGGATTTGTTGGTGTGCGGTGTCATTTTCTTATGAAATGCTGTCCTTCAGCAAGTGTGCTATGTGCATGGAAGCAGGGATCACTAACCAAAGAGCTTCCCCCAGGGTGTAGCAGTACAGTCTTGGGCCAAACTCTTCCTAGCTCCAAGTTTATGCTTATTCTAGCTCCTAGAGGGAGCAGGTGCGGCCAGCCACCAGGGTGTGTCTGCGCCCTGGAGTTACGAAGACAGTAGCACCGGAAGTCAGCTTTTTGTTGTTAAGCTAAAATACCTGACATACACAACTTAAAGAAGAGAAGAGTATTTTGGCTCATAGTTCCAGGGGTTTTAGTCCATGCTCAGCTGGCTTCAGTGCAAAAATATCATGGCAGAAGGGCAGGGAAGAGGAAAGCTGCTCACCTTATCGCAGCCAAGAATCATTAAGAATGAGAAAGAGCTAGCGGGAGAGGGAGGATCTGAAGATGGGATATACTCTTCAAAGGCACAGTCCCAGTGACCAACTTTCTCCAGCCCCACCTCCTAATAGCCCATTCAGCTAACGAGGTTGGTGCACTCATGATCCAGTCACCTGCTAAAAGCCCCCTCTGAACACAGAAGAATTTGGGGAGGCATTTTAGATGTAAAACATAAAAGCAGGATACGTCTTCCCTTTCTGATATAAGCCTTCAGACCACCACCACCCCTGGCCTTTCTGACTCCCACATTATGGCTTACCATCTTGGGCAGCTCTCTTGCTCAAGAATGTATTCCATTAGGACCTGAAGGAATAACCAAAAGTAAATCTACACCTTAATTCCTCCAAGGTCAAAATGAAGAAATCTACTTATTCAAGTAATCCCCTAGTCCAAATGTGCATGCAACCTGCTCTGCCTAATACAAAATAATCTATTAGACAGATTAGCAAACACTTGAGCTTAGAAGAAACTCAACTCCTTTTTCAGGACCACTAAAAGTTGATTTGCCCTTTATTCTAAACTTCTAGAGAAAGTTCAGGAGCTTAATTGCATGTCCAGGACTTAAGGAATTGATCTGTGAAGTTGGAATCTCAAGAAAATCAGTTAAGTACCTAAACTTCTATATATTCCACAGCAGTAGTAACTCATTATTATTGTTTAGAAGTGATTAAGGTAAGATTCATTTACAGGAGGCTTTTCTTCCACCATTAAGAATTATCTCGCATATTTCTAGCATGTAAACTACAAACTATGAAGACAGAAACCTTTAATTTCCTTTTTTTTCATGCATGGTAAACGGGGAGGTCAAGTGAACATTCCTTAGGCATTCCAGGAATAGTGTTCGTAACTGATCGATGTTTTCATTTGCTTCTCTCTCAATTCTTAAGGGTAAACACTAAAATAAGGCTAAATATGTTTAATTTTTTTAAGGATGCAATACAAATTCCATAGAAACTTCGTATACAATAATGTCTGAATTTTATCAGTTCCCAGGGCTATTTCAAGGTCTTTGGGGAGAGTATAACTCTTTTTTCTCTTTGTCAGTTTAGGTATGCCACCATTAAACTTTGCCCTGTCTAGCCACACTCTTTTCTAGCCCATTCACCCTATTAAGTATCCACGGTCCTAAAAGAACTGAGTTTCCTTGGGATGCTGTGGGAAAGGGACGGCTACGGGCAAGCCTGAGCTCTAGTTCCAAACCCAAGACCAAGTACGTGACTTTGAACAACTTCCTGGATTTCTGCTGGCCTCCATTTGTTCATAAATTTAAGGAGAAAAGAGGTTGGGTATTTTCTAATAGCGTTCCCAATACCACTCTCCTGTGTCCTCTAATTCCAAGCATATTCTGTTCATTTCCATGGGGGAAGCTTTGACAATAGACCATGTAATGGGATTTGAAGGGAACATTTTCTATGGCTTCCAGAGAATTTGGAAGATATGAGTCATATAACTCCCCACTCCAGTCCCAAATTGGTAGGAAGGAAATAAAGGCCGGAGTTGGGGGGTATGTATTACATACTCGCAAAGCAAAAGGAGATTTCAAAGCCAGGAAGGGACATTTTAAGGCTAGCGGTATTATTTCCACTGTTTGATGAGCATCATGAAAGAACGGTCATAAACATGACCAGCGGTTAATACTTTCATTATCAGTTAAGGATTGTAACCATTTAACTTTCAGCATTAAATTGAGTTCTTTTATTACAAAATTTCTCTTCATGTAATGATTTAAATTGCAATTTCACATTTGCCTTCAGAATGGGGAGAACCTCCAGTTTTGTGGACTGCCTGGCTCTATCATCTTGAAGGTTAAAAATTAAGGTCAAGGTTTAATAACATTAGTTTCATTGTGTTTCTAAGCCACAAATACAAATTTAACCCCGCTGGCTTTCTAAAATTGTGTGAGAGCAGTGCACAAAGCAATCATCTCTACAGGAAAAGTCATTCACAGGTTGGCTGTGCTAACAGCGGGGAGCGCTGTCACCTCTGGTTAACCAGGACAGTCTGGTGTCAAGGTTGCCCTGGAAACTGAGTTGCAAAAGCTGAGTTAGTACAGAGATGCCTACACTGGCCATAGCACTATTCTAGTGATAGGAATCTCCTTGTAGTGCTCATAGTAGTACTGTTGGGTCTGAAACATTGGACCTTTTATTGAACAGCAACCAGGGTTTGTAAACCCTTTGTCCTCCTTCTAGTATTTTAGACTTCACTTGGAATAGTTATCTCTTCTGAATAAAGTACAAAGATTAAAAAGGAGGTGATTTCTCTAATTTTGCTCCAGAGCCAGAATGCATCAGATTTTGTGTTCATTCTATAGGATAAATTTAAGACTAATAACCAAATTTCAGCACCTCTGCATTAGTACACTGATTTTTTTTAATGTCCCCACCATGCATTCTGGAACCTTATCTGGTACGTTGGAGGGGAGCAGTTCTGAGGATTGAAGAATCCAGGGCCTTCACACTTAGCTACATTCCCAGCCCCCAGCCCTTTTTAAAAAAAGTTTTATTTTGAGACAAGAGATTGTTAAGTCTCTAAATTGCTCACTTGTGATCCTCCTGCCTCAGCCTCCTACAGTGCTGGGATTATAGGCATATGCCACCATGCCCAGTTACCATTTTGGACCTCCCTGCCCTATCATAGAAGCTGTCCAAGCACTACCAGTGGTGAACCTATAGCACTCAAGCCATAGCAGGTTGTTTGTACCACTGAAAGCTCTGTTACCGTTTTTCTTTTAATGTGTGAGTTATTTTTCTAAACTAAGTCCTCAGTATTAAGGTTTAATGGCAGTGTTGGCACATTACGATAAATAAGAATGTTTAGGGTTGCAGTTTGGGCACCCGGTCTCTCAAAGTTTTGCCATCAATGAGCCTAAGCAGATCTCATAGTCCACAACACAGTAGGATGTTGAAGAGAAAAAGTACACAACCAAAATTTTGAAGATACTCTCTTTTTATTTCAAAACATGGGAATAACTCAAAATTTAAACCTCAAGGACCAAAATATATTTTCACCAAATGTTGAGAAGATGAGCCAGGCTACCATTATGGCAACAAGCCTCACGTGGAAAAGTGGATGTTAGAGAATGATCCCCACGATGCGGCTAAAGCTATAGCACACCCACAAATAGATTCATACTTGCTTGTCTAATCTGCATGCATGCGTACGGTGCATTCTCCATGCCACTAGAACATATATGCCTTTTCCAAAGGCAGTACAGGATCCGTGTCTGCGCAAGTCCTTCAAAGTCTGCTCCCCTACAAAAGTTTACCATAATTTATCTGCAAGAGCCTTCAGGAGACAAATTCTTTATGCCGCCTTTACTTCTCAAAGCCATTTTTGAATAATAATTACAGAGGTCAAGAGTTCCAGCATCACATAAGAGAATCCATTTGTTAGTTATTTTAATGTCAGTTAGTCATTTGTGAGTAAACCTCAATAAACACATCCACATGTTTGGTGTCCAGAATTTGAAATTGATAACCTTTGTAGTGGCGATGGCAAACCTAGACCAAAATGACAAGATGAGAAACAAGAGAAGATGTTCCAAGAAAAGCTGGGCTTCCCTCCCTCACAAAGCAAATTCTTCCCTAATATGCACCAGTGACAGCCAGACACACTTGTGCATGGGGACCCACTTTTTCCCACCAATGCAGAATGGCTGGAAACTCAAACAGCATTCAGAGCCAGCGGGGAAAACGCCTGAATCTGAAAAAGAACTCAAAGAAATTGTACACGGGAAAGGAGATGGGAATTGAAAACAAATTTCCAGGGTAGCTCTCTCTGTCAAGAAGCGAAAAGTCTTTATTACTAGAATATGCAGAATCCCACAGGAATTGCTGCATCTTTCGCCTTAACTCTTTTCTTGCCAGTCCTTTCCCAGGCTGGTTGAACCGCCTCTGTGGTCCTCCCATCCAGATGCCACGCAGTAGCAGGCCTCAGGAGCTGCACTCCTCACATTGACAGGAGAGTATGTACCGGTAGGTGGCGGTGAGTCGCATGCCCCCTGAGCAGCGCAGGCGCAGTGCCTTCAGCTTGGAGGTCTGGGGCCGGCAGCAGTGACAGGAGGAACGGAAAGGCTGCTTGAGAACAGTACTGAAGGACACCAAGGGCTCAGAGCGCGACGCCTGGCTGCAGTGCCCCTCACACCTGGCCAGGAGCACCATCTGGGGAAAGAAGAGAAGCTGGTTACTTTGTGAAGGTACCAACGCCTCAGCAGGGTACCACAGCACCCTTTGAAAGGCCCTAAAGCTCCTGGCCAATGTCTGCTAGGTCAGACAAGTGGCTCTCAAGCTGCGCCACACATTAGAATCAACTGGTAAACTAAAAAAAAATGTTGGGGCTCGGGATGCAGTTCCGGGATACAGTGCTTACCCAGCCTGCACAAGGCCCTAGCTTCAGTCCTCAGCATCACAGAGGAAAAAAAATAAATCAACAACCAGGCCCCATTTAGACCACTCACATTAAGATCCTTGGGGTAAGACCCAGGCTCTCAAGATTTTCAAGACTCCACAGGTGGCTCAGAATTGCACTAAGGATTTAGAACCACCGGGTGAGACTCATGATTACAAAGTACACATAAAAATCCAAGAATACTACAAGTTTTTCCTAATGGAGGGCGTTCTACAATCAAGCCAACACATCTGCAATTTGACCAGTAGCAAAATGCAGAAAGTCATTTTAAACTGAAAGCAAGAAGTAAAATAAAGAATGACAGAAGATAAAACTTGATTTGTGCAGGGAATGTCTAACCAAAAGGAATATGATTGTTTTTGAGGAGGTGGATATGTTTGCCCTGACTTGGTTTGAGGGGGTTCATTTTTTATTTATACTCGTACATGTTTGCAGTACACACTGTCTGTAAACCTTCATGGAGCTGGCACATGCGCATAACACGTCTTAATCCTTTGTACCACCCCACTTCCCTCCCCTCTCCCCCGTTCCCTCCATCTCTTGATCCCTTTCCCACTTGAGGAAGATCTATCTCCCTACGTCCTATTATCTAGCTTTCATTTTGTTCTATATTTACACTTTGGATTTCTTATCTAAGAGAAACCGTGGGATATCTATGCTTGTGTGTCTAATTTATTCCACTTAACATTATGGTCACAAGATACATCCATATTCCTACAAATGATTCAGCTTATCTTTCTTTATGGCAGAGTAGGAATGTGATTTTTGAAGAAGAAAAAGAGAAAGCTAAGTGATATTTAGGAAGAAATATTTTGGGTGCTGCAAGTTGCAACAAGAGAAGAGAGAGGACACATTTGGGGTGTTGGGTTCACACCCTTGGGTTTGGTAACGGTTGATACATTGTGTCCTCTTGAGAAGTGTAGAAGTTTAATTTAGCAACTCAGCGGGGAGCCAGGGTCTTTACTTTGTAAACATCCTGAGCTTGTGCAAGAGGAGGACACGGAGATAGTGTGAGTGCTACACCCACCCTGGGGACAGGTAGCCTGGGTACAATATAAGGGAGGAAAAGAGGCTTGTTCTTCCCCTTTTTGCTCTTGTTGCTTTGCTGCCTTCTGCTGCCTTGAACTGTTGCTCCCATACCCTGCCACCCTGCCGTGGAGCCAGCCGAGTATGGACTGAAACCTCCACAAACTGTGAGCTAAACTTTCCTTCCTTAATTCTGGGTGTCAGGTATTTTGTCCCAGCAACGAGAGAAAAGTAACTAAGACATACACTGAGGAAGCCTGAGATCTGTGAACTCACATCTGCATTTTCACAGTCACTTAGGACTGGTAGGAAGTATCCATTTTGAGCATCTCCATTTCCAAAAGTTCAGGCGGAAATAAGAAGCTGTGTGTTCTTTATAGCAGCTCTTAATCTGGCTTTAGTAAACAGAATCCTTTAAGAATCTGATGAAAACTATCAAAGTTATCTCCAGAAAAATATACATAAACACACACTAGACACTGTGCCCATAGCTTAAGGATAGGGACAAAAGGTTCATTTTTGTATCCCATACATAAATCCTGGTGTCTTGAGGGGAAGTCATGGGTGGAGTGGGGTGGGATGGTTTGATTTATGAAGCTGTATGACCCTATATGACCAGGGTAGTGAGGTCAGTGGTCCATGTTTATATAGGGTGATCTTGCTTAGTATATTTCATATTAAGTGATGGAGGAAAAAAGTTGCCTTATAACTCCAGAACCAACAGCAAGTTCAGAAAAAGTGGAACTGTTCCAATGAAAGATCAAAAGATGTAGATAGGTAAACAGGTAGATATATATAGACGGAGATACATGCACAAAACCCTTTGATATTGACCTTATGATATTTGGGGAATTAGCAGTTAATATTAAAGACTCGCTAGCTATTATCTCTGACACCATCCTATAGGGCGGAATTAAACGATGATGATTCAATGATTAAAAGATGGAAATGGTCAGCTCATCTTTCCAAACGTGGGAAGAGATAACTTCTGTCAATTATAGGCTACTAACATCATTATCTGAGAGGATGCTGAGGGTGAAATCCAATAATCACCTAGCAACCACCAAGGGAATATAATACTGGAAGAAAAAAAATGGAGACAAAACAAAACAGAACAAAACCCAATCTGCGCGAGGGGAAGAATAAGTCGGACTAAATCAGCTGATTTCTTTTCCCTGAGAGAGCATAGAGATAGAGAAAAAAATGGCAGCTGTAAACTCTTGATTCTCTCCTACCTGCCCTTCACATTGATAGGTAAAATAAACATGATCTGAAAGAGGTTTGGGAACATTATGCCATAAGTCAGTAGTAAAGTACATGCATGTCCAACTCTAGTGTTCAATCCCCGGCTCTCTAATGGGAGTGAGAGGACCAGATCTTCCCCAATTTCTTGCCAAGGCTGCTAGTACATGGCAAGAGCTGCTTGGCACCTCTCCTTGGAGCAGGGATAAATTTGCTGGTCTCTAATCTAGCTCACCTATTCTGTAGATTAAGCAGTTATTCAGAGCCATCTCCTAAAATGGATTCTTCAGAGAGCTGGTTTTGGGCTGCGTGGGATGTGATGAACCTATGCCAGCAGACTTAATTCAGAAGGACTAGAGACAATGTGGCCATCATACCAAAATGATACACATACAGGCATGCCAAGTGTAGACCTCACTGGCCAGGCCGTTAGCACTGTCTCCCAAATGACTAAATCAGCAGTGTAGGGCCATTTGCAGATGAGCTAACCTGATTATGACCTTACTAAAAACTTTCAACTTGTCAGGCTCTACCCCCAGCCCACTGTGAAAGACAAGCACCCCAGCACTACAGGAGACTGGGGACCACCTCCGACAGGTCTGGCTCCTCTGCTTCGGGAGCTGACTTTCTGCACAAGAAGAATGCACAGACATGTACAAGAAACACCTTCAGTAGCTACTCCTAGCCTTCAGAATAAATCCGAAAATCCTGAGCAGGAGTCCAGGCCTTCGTGCCTTGCTATCAGTATCACTTAGAGTGGTTCTCATCACCCACTCCCTGTTCTGGTCAAGTCTACTTAGCAGTCCATGGAGCTGCCCCTCAACTCTCCTGCCTCTTGCCTTTGTTCATGTCTTCTATCTGCCAAGAAGATCCTTTCCATCCAGCTCTGCCTGATGAAATCCCACCTGTCTATCCTTTGTGGCCAAATTCAAATGGTCTGTTCTCAGGGAAAAAACTATGAGACAATTATTGTGTCCTTCGTGTTCTCAACACACACACAAATTCCCTGTCTGGAATAGCTTAGTGTGTAGAACTCAGCTCTGGGTTGTAAATCAGAGGGAAATGTATCTCTGCTTTGTGTGTGCTGAGGGATAAGGTAGAAATCTAGAAGATTAGATCTACTAATGGGTATCACTTAGGAACAGAAGGATAATCATCTACTTTCTGGGTTCACTCCTGATAGTCTTTCACCCTTGCGTATGCCTCTTCTGTGTTCTAGCATTTCATGAATATCTTCTGACCTCCTCCAGACCACAGTTTCTCAGAACGGAATGTGCACAGGAATCGGCTGGGATCTTGTTAAAATGCAAGTTTTGATTGAGTAGTTCTGGGGTGGGCCAGTGAGTCTGCATTTTCCCTAAGGTTCCAGGTGATGTTTAGACTGTTGGGCTGATACACTTTGAGTGGCAAGTCTGTGAAGTCATTAAAGTTTGGGGATTCTGAGCTCAATCATTATAAGCAATGATTTAACAAATAAGAACTTTTTTGAGGTACTAGGGATTGAACACAGGGCCTTTGCACTAGCTACACTTTTAGCCTTTTTCTTCTTCTCCTCCTCCTCCTTCTTCTTTTTTTAGACAGGGTCTCATTAGGTCACTAAGTTGCCCAGGCTGGGCTTAGACTTCCAATTCTCCTGCCTCAGCTTCCTAGAGTACACTGAGATACAAGGTGTGCGCTACCATGGCTGCCTAAGAACATTTACTGAGTGCTTAGGACATGAGGATTTCATTTAATCTTCATAATAATCCTATAAGAAAGGGACTATCACGACTGGTACTATTATTACAAATAAGGAAACTGAGGTTTTAGAAGGTTTGTTACTTGCCCAAAATCACGTATCTAGAAAAAGCCAAGGCTAGACTCAAACCCAGGTCTATTTGAAATCCCTACAGCATGAGCTAACTCATACCCTTCTCTACACTGACTTGCCTCTGGGAGTCCAGACCAGGTCTTCAGCAGAGGCAGACGAGGCTCATCTTTGCCCCGCAGGCTCGGCGGGGCACAGCCTCGCCACTGCCAAGCTTATGCAGAACCAAATCTGCTCAGAATAAAGACACCCCGCCCGGTCCCATGTTAGACCAACATGTTGGCTATTTTACCCCAGTGGAAAGGGAAACCTTTCTTCTTCACTCAGCAGTGAACACTGCACCCCTATTTCCACAGCACCCCCTTTCTCCTCAAGACCAAAATTCATTCATGCTTCTCTCCTTCCTTCCCGCATCAGCAACTTCAGTAAACGGCTGTTGCACTCATTTCCAAGGACCCAAGCGACCCTGCAGTGGGTCTGTGCTAGGCTGAGGACACCAGCAAAATAGCAACCGGGAGGCCAAAGCAGCCTGAGGGCCGCGGGAGCTTTGGAGGTTTGGGTGGGAGCCCAGCTCCCTCCAACTAGAGGCTGGTGCCATCACTCAGGTCACAAATCAAATTGAAAAGGTCTTTATTTTTTATTTGGGGGCGGTTCCAGGAAGCAAACTCAGGACCTTGCACTTGCCAGGCAGGTGCTGCATTGCTGAGCTACATCCCCGGCCCCGAGAAGGCCTTTAGGCATAGAACATTTCCCTTTCCTCCCTCTGCATCGACTTGTAACCACTATGAAGACCAAAGCTTTGTCTTTTCCTTCTCTTCCTTCTTCCTTTCTCCCATTGTGCTTTCTTTCCATTTTTATATTTCTAACACCTTCCGCAATATCTACACATAGCTCGTATTCAGTATAAATTTGTTCTGATTTTAAAAACCAAGTCATATCTCTCAAGTGGCCAACTATGTCATAAGATCGATATTCCTGACAACGCAGATTTCATCTGCCGTGTCCTACGAACCTCTCAGGCAACGGCGGAGGATAGCACTGGGGCCCTGGTAGCTTCCCTCAGTCCTGAGGGTCAGTGCTTGCCATGTTGCATTGCTTTTCCTCCGGGAGCCTTCACAGGCTTTGTCCCCTTAACCCTCCTCCTTCTCCTTTGCTACTGTCCTTGGGGCACCTCTCGCTCCCATGACCCTTAAGAGTTCAGGCAACTGTGCCTTGGTTCCGTGCCCTGACCTGGGACGGCCATCTCCCATTTCTCACCCTGCTCAGGCTTCACAGACCGGCCCTGCCAGCTCACTTTCCCAGCCTGCGTTCCTGGAAACCCTTGCCTGGCCCGGGGCCAGAGCTCAGCCCTGCACCCCTCCGTCCCCTGCTCACCTGGTAAGGGACGCGAGCCGAGAGGGAGGCTGCTCCTCTTTCTCTTTCATCCTCCCTCTTAGCAGCCAGCACAGTGGCTCATATTTGCTTTGCTCTTCTTTCCTACCCTGTGTCCAAGGAGAGCTCCAATGAGGTTCATTTTCCTAATCCCTTAAGGCTGTAGGAGATCCCAACAGTTATTGAGGCCTCCGCCATGACTGAAATAGAAAGTGAATCGAAGCACCTGTCTAGCTTATAACTTCATCATCAGTGTCACATCATTTATTAAATGTCTCTTCTACACTGGACACTGGGCTGGCTGCTTTACAAAAGTTATCACACACCCTCGCCCTCCAAGAGGCAGCTCCATTTTATATGGAAAGAAACAGAGGCACCAGAGAATGACCTGGCTTTCCCAAAGTTCCCCATTTGGCAAGCTGGGAAACCAGGCCTCTGTTGCTTCAAAGCCTGGAATGCCTCAGTTTCCTTAAATGTGTCTTAGGCAGCCCATTTCCACACTCTACAGCCTTTACTCAGAATTTCAGGGAAGCATGGTCTCTTAGGAAGACCGGAAATGAACCTGCTGCTCTGTACCCAGATGTCACCACTTCCAGGGTCACTGGGTGCATCTTAGATCATGGCCATATTGTTCTGCCTGCTCTGGCAGGTTAGGCCACTCCTGCATTGTTAGGAGATTGGCCACAGGACCCTGGGACTGGCCAACGGCAAGTTCAGGGTGATGATGAACAAGGAGTCCCATTGAATGCTTCCAGAAAAGCTTTTGTTATTGTATCTTTTTTTTTTCCTGGAAAAATTGCCATGTATTGCATAAATCATTATTGCTGGCAGGCCAAAAGTTGGGCCTGGAGCTCAAGATAGTTGTCCCTACATTCTACTTGCGATCCTCCAGTGTGAAGAGGGAAGTAGCCTAAAGATAAATGCTGGAAGACAGACACCACCATTGTCTGTGGCTATTGGTTATTTGGCTTTAAACAAAGTACTGTACCCAAGCTTTCTTTCGGATTTCAGCTTTCTTTACTGTTAAGATAGGAATGCCAATGCCTGCCATCACAGCTTTATTGGTGGTGATTAGCACATATACTGTAAGGTGTCAACTAATGTATTATTTGACCAGTCCTTCCTTCCCTGAGGCTGGTCATGAGCTATCTTTCATCTGCCTTCACAAGGCCAGATACTGAACAAATGTAAACCAAGAGGCAGTAAGTAATGGCTTTGACCATGATGATGAGGAAAAAATTTTCAGAGAAAAAAAAATCTTACCTTAGTCTCTTCTTTCTAGACATAATCTAAATGTTTTATCCCAAGCCTCTAATGAACAATTTCGTTAAATAAGATCCACTAGAAAGAAGATCAGCCTGAGTCTGCCGAAGTTAGAAATGATAGGCTATTTCCAAATGGAAGCAGTTTTCTTCGTGGATACACAGAGAAAATCTAATCCAGAAAAGGTCTGGGTAGTTGAGGTTCTGCCAAGCATTTTTATGGCCAAGGAAGGAAGGTTTATAATTACAAGCACCATTTACATAAAACTATTGCTATATTTGGGACAGTTTGGGATGTTTGAAAACAGATTGTTCCCATGAAATTACAAATATTTCTCTTATTATCACAGTTTCGCACTGTTATTGACTGTGGCCTTCTGAGAGCAGCAAAGGTGAACAGTAGACTGAAGTCTGTTTCTAAGATTTGTGCCTGAGTGCAGTAGGTTTGAGTTCATGACGCCTCTTCTTTGACCTTCCTTAAGTCAGTGTGCTACTTGCTAAAGCATTCTTCCACCATCATTTTGCTCAGTATTTCCAGATTGCTTCTGAGCTCCCTTCTTTTTTCTTTTTTCTTTCTTTTTATTGTTGTTGTCATAGTGCTGGGGACCAAACCCAGGGCCTCACACATGCTAGGCAAATGCGTTACCACAGAGTCACAGGCCCAGCCCATTTTCCAGGTTCTATACATACACCACGGGCACACGCGTGTGTGTGTGAGTGTGTGTGTGTGTGTGTGTGACTGCATATTGAAACAAGGACCTTTGCATTGAGCTGCATTCCCAGCCCTTTCTCATGTTTTTATTTTGAAACAGGGTCTCACTCGATTGCTAAGTTTCCCAGGCTGGGAATGAATTTATGATCGTCCTGCCTCAGCCTCCTGGAGTCCTGGGATTACAGGTGTGCAACACCACCGCAACAGGCTGAGGCTCCTGTTTTCTATGGTCCTTCTTGTCAAGATGGCAGTTGCTCTGAAATCACTTTAATTCCTTTTTCTCTTTAAAGAGTCATAATTATGAAAGACAAGTCAAGAAAGAGAGAAATCATCCAACAAGAAACATTAAATATTAGTGCTTTCTGCTTCAGGAGAAGGAGGAGAAGAACCGCTAATAATTGCAACCTTATTCAGGCCTACAACTGCCAAGCAATCATGATTGTAAAATATTTCTCATATTTCTTCTTAATTACTTTTAGTTTTAGATTTTGTGAGATGTCTGTGTATTTGTTTCTTGTGTTTTCCAATACTGGGGATGGAACCCCAGGCCTTGTGCAAGCTCGGCAAGCACTCTGCTACTGAGCTACACTCCCAATCCCTAATTTTCTTTTCCTAAGAAAGGATTTTTATTTAGCCTTGCAAAAATTCATATTCATCTACTTACTACTTTTTTTTAAGTTTTAAATGCACAAATAAGACCAAGGACATTTTTCTTAAGTGGAAAAATCTCTTTTTCCCACAGTCATAGGTCTTATTAATATAATAGCTAGTGGTTTAACTCAGCTCTCAATGTGCTAAACTAAAACAAGTCATCTTCTTTGGCCTGTAATCACAGAAGTTATGGAAAATTTAAAAGCAGACTGAAGTTGTAATGTTTTTAAGTGGAGGGTGGAGAGATTGACTTTTATGGTCTTAATTCTAGTGGTTGATATTACAAAAAATTCTTAATTATACCAGTAATTTTAAAAATACTTGCCATATGAGAATGTTTAAGTGATTTTAGTCTCAACTAAAAGTGAAAATCTCTGAGGTTGAACTAAACAAATTCGTATTTACCGGGGCGGGGGGGGGGGGGGGGGGGGACAAATTTCATTCATATGACTGTTTGGAGGCAGTGACAGTCGTGAGAACTCTCATTTGGAGTCTGTTCCACCCTGTAATGTGCCTGCCTTCTGGGTGGTCTCTGTGTCTGGCCATTCTTGGTGGCCTTTCAGGCCTGTTATTCCTTTGCACACCTTGTCTTAACACTGAGACACAGGTGGCCTCTGTAAGGAGCATGCAACCCTTCCAAACAAGAGCGCCTTGGACAACCAACATAAAAATGATACATGATCAAATTGCCATCTTAGCTTTTGAACTCATTTTCACATAAACATGGCCTGTGGAAAAAGGCTCAGAGCACAAAGTCAATTACCTAGTATTTCACCAGGAAACTCTTTGCAAAGAAAGCACATCCCATGACTCAGTCATATTCCCTTTTTTTTTTTTTTTTTTTTTTGAGACAGGGTCTTGCCATGTAGTCCAGACTGGCCCTAGATTTCCTATGTGGCCCAGACTGGCTGCGAACTGGTGATCCTCCTGTCTCAGCCTCCCGAGTACTAAGCATTTCCTTTCTCTTTATTGCTGGTAGAGGTAGGAATAACAATAACTTCTTGACTTCAGTTTTCTTTCTGGAGAAAGGACACTATTTCTCATGTATTTCATAGCCGGGGACAAAAGACACCTCGCCATGGCATGGGGGTGTACCATGTTTAGTTAGGCTGACAGAAGTACAAAGCATGATGGGAAACCCTAAAAGCAGGCCTCTCCCACAAGTTCTGAAGGCCAGTCATTGCGCCACAGTTTGAGCAGTGACCATAGGTCTCCCTCCCTGACAAAGAAATATGGCTTCTCTTCTGGTTAGAGGGGAGGAGGGCAGATGCTCCCCTCCCAAAGACCTTGTTCTTACCTTTGAGCTACACTTGTACAGTGGGTGACTGATAGAATCAACATAGTGGTGCCTCATGCAGCGTCGAGGGTCTGAGTCCATCATGAATGAGCTGTCTGTTTTGCTGTCTGTGTCTCCCATTACCGCCAGCAGGGAGAGCATGGAAAAGGATGCAGCTAGTACATGATTTCTCATTGTTGTAAGGAAACACTCCTCTGGAATAACAGCAGAGGGAGGCAGAGGACAAAAAATTAGAAATGCCTTCACCTCCTAGGATCCAGTTCCTTTCAAGGCAAGGGCAGGATCTGGCTGAAGCTTTGTGGCTGTCATTGTCCGCTCTATGCCGGAGTTTTGTCTTACTCTTTGCGCTGGCAATCCATCACCATGGAATCTGCTGCACAGCTGGAATGAAAACAGAAATTATTTTTCCCCAGCAATATTTACCCAGAAACACTAATGGAACCCAGGAGGTATTAAGTAGAGTTTTTCCATTTCATTCTGAGTGGAGAATATTGGTTTCTACAGGGTAATTAGCATAAACTGTCATGTATTCCACTTCCCGCCCCTCAGTGCTTCTACTGCATATTCATAGCCGCTTGGAAGTGGACACAGCGATGTAATGAAAGCACATGCGGCCTCTAATTGCTGGAGTCCATGCTCCTAAGGGCAAGAATAGTTTGAACCTATGGTAAACATGGAACATGTGCTTCTGGCCACAGTGTCACTAAATTGGGTGGTCTCATCTTGAGCCTTGGTTGGTAGGAACAGGAGGGTCTATTCAGTTTCTCGGGAAGCTTTGGTGTCAACCTCAGCTTACAGGGCTAGAGATGCGGCAGGTCAGTGCTAATGAACACAGGCCACGTCCCAAGGGAGCACATTTTCCATTTCCAAGCCCGTGCTCACCCACCCACCCAATTTTCCACTTCTGTGCTCTGGGCTCATCCTGTTTTTGTTTTAAACTCCATGCCACCCAGCATCAATGGCAAACTGCATCTGAAATACACATTATTTGCGCTGGCCTCCAGCATCGTTAAGGCACACATGTGCATTTCCCAACAGAGTCACACGTTTCTGCAGAGCCTTTGTAGCCTGAGCCCATGGTGTAATTTGAAAAAGAAGGTGGCCATTGGAGCAGAGATTTACCATTAAAGTAGGATTATGCTAGACTGGTTTTCCTGACATTTGCTTTGTTCTTTTAACCATACCTCCTGGTCAAAGGACTGAGGTCCAGAGATCTCCTCAAATCACCTCACGAACCCTCCTAGGCATGGCCCACACTGATGCTTTTTATTACACCGGAAAACAGTATCAAAAATATTTTCAAACATTTAGGGAAATTTGGTGGGGGGGGGGGTCTGACATTATATCCCAAACCAAAGGAACGGGATAATTAAAGCCTCAGAAAAGCTTTCAAAGGTATTTCAGATCAAAGTTTGATTGTTTTGTTCACAGTACAATTTTTTTTAACTTCCTACTCATGAACAGCCTGAATAAACCGGCAAAATGTTGATATGATCAGATTAGAAGTTCAAGTCTGTATAAGCCAATTGGTTTTGTTCTAATAGAGTGGCCTTGGGCCCACTTAGCTGCAGCTGGCTGTCTCGCAAGCACAACGCAGGGGGTCCTAAGGGCAAAAGTTTGTGATACAGGGCTGCTTCGGAACAGCACGTCCCTGGCTATGACCAAGGTGGAATGTACATGCTTCGGAAGTCCTGCAACTTGCAGGAAGAACAGGAACCAGCAAGGAGGGGACCTACCTAGACTCAAGTCATGACATTGCTGCTCATCAGTTGGGGCAATTTGCGCAGCTCATTTAAATTCTTCCAGCCCATTTCCTCATCTGGAGGGTCAGGGAACCGACAGAGATGTGCTATCCCCATCCTGCTTTAAAACGCTACCACTTAATAGCTATGGATTCAGCTACCACCGTCTCTAGAAGGTAATCCTGAAATCGAAGAGACCCTATTTTCATACAACCTCTTACCATTTTCCTTTTTGTGCAGTATCTCATTAAAATGAATCAAACCTGCATACAAAGTTTGACATCAGCAAAGGATTCCGAAAAGCATTTTTTGAAGGGTGATTGGATTGATCAGTGTGTGCAGTGTACGTGTATGGAAATAGCTCACTGAACCCCATTAATATGTATAATTAATATAGTTAAAAGTGATTTTTTGTTCTCTTTACAGCAAAAGATACTTATATAGCAGGTTTTCCTGTATCCATGACCCCTGAAATTTACCCAGATCTCAGTTCAAAAAACCAGCACTTTCTTGGGGTCTGTGTTCTGGGGGATGCGATATCACTATTTCCTGAGTTTCAATATGACTAAATTATCCCGAGTGGTTATGTGTCTCTTTGAAGCCTTAATTAGTCTCAGAAAGAGAATTGATTTGATTTCTCCTTTCACCGCTCCAGTCTACAGATATTTCCCCCAGGAGTTACTGGCAAAAGGATGAAGGGAAAGCAGACATTCCAGTCTTGGCTTTTCCTCTCCGCTGCCAGCAACTTCTCTGCAGAGCCATGGCCATTGACAAGCACCGTTAAATACACAAAGCAAAGGCAGAAAAACATGGACGACATGATGGCAAAAACAAGCCACAACATCAGTGACAAATCACTACACGTGTGTCTGGATGGTTGTACTTGTTGGCATGTCCATTTTCTTCACAAGAAAGAAAATATAAGCAGGGGATATAGCCCAGCAGCACAAGTGCTTGCCTGGCAAGTGCAAGGTCCTGAGTTCGATTCCTGATACCAAAAACAAAGGAAATATAAAGTGTCTTTTAGTATAGAAAAGGGACATTGTTCTTCATTTAAGAGAAATGAAAATTAAGCACTTGAAGATATTTTGTTCAACCAATCGGACTTCCAAAGTCTAATCATGAGCTCTGTTGACAAGGCTGTGAGAAAGTAGGCCCATTTTGGAAATAGTCCAGAATAATAAATCAGCACAAATTCTGTAGAGGCCAATTTGGCAAATTTTTTTTTTTGAAATATGAATGTATCACTTAGATCTAGCAACCCTGTTTCTGTGGATTATACTGTATGTGAAATCACACAAGTGCATGGTTGTAATACCATAAAATTGGAAACAGCACAAAATATCCGTTAATAGGGAATCAGTTCATTATATTATACAGTACTCACACAATGGAATACTGGATAACTACATAAAGAAAGATTCAGAAATTCTATGCACTGATTTGTGTTAAAACAGGCAGGGATAAACATATATGTGGATCTGCACAGTGAAACTCTGGAAAGATATTCAGAAACTAATGACATTTGTTCCCCACCTCTCTCTTTCTCTGGAGATTGAACTCAGCGCTTTTGCACTAAGCTACATTCCCCAGTATTTTTAGGATTTTTCTTTTGAGACAGGGTCTCCCTAAGTCACTAAGTTGCCCAGGCTGGGCTGGAACTTCTGATCCTTGCACCTTCAACCTCCGGAGCAGGATTATAAGCATGCACCACCACATCGGCCTAATGCTTTTTCTTTCAAAAGCTTAGTTTAAAACTTGTGACTAATATTTTATTTATGCCACTTTGAGTATCTTAATAACAGTGTATTTGTATTTCTCATAAACTAGGAAGATGGGCTAGTCTCAGGAAAATACTCTCCCAGGTACACCATTTCGGTTCTGTACACTACTGCCACCTAGTAGAAATATCCTGAATTGCAAGCACAGTTAAATTTTTTTCCTGAAAAATGAGTAAAACACTTGCAAGTAAATATTAAGACGTTTATACTGATGAGATGGTTAATGTCATGTACAGTGTAGGTTTGTTAACTACCTTTATCTTTAAATGTGACAAACTCAACCCAAAAGTAGTAATAAAGAATAAAAAATGACAGAGGAAAAATTGCTTCACCCCTAGTTCTAAGAAATAGATTTTTTATTGTAATACACTCACAAAACATGATTTTTTTGTTCAGTTCTTATATTAAATGCAAAAATAAGAATCTAAACAATATGAAGGTAGCACAGAGCTCACGGAGTCATCAAAACACAACTTAGCCTGGCATGGCGCACACGTACACTACCAACACTGTGGGAAGCCAAGGTGGGAGTATCACAAGTTCAAGACCAACCTAAGCAACTTAGACAGACCCTGTCTCAAAATAAAATATAATATAATACACAATATGGATGAGATGCAGCTTACTGGTAGAGTATTTGCATGCCTGAGGCTCTGAGTTCACACCCCAGGACAGAAGGAAAAAAAAAGAGTCTCACAACATAACAGTGAGAATTTTTTGCTTTAAATATTCAAGTTGAATGAACCAATGCTGCTGTGTTGAAGGAGAAATAAAAATAAAGCTGCAGAAAAGAGGAATGTGAGGTAGACTTGTCTTGACATTGTGTTGGCTCGGGTGCGCAAGGTGAAGGGAGTGCGGAGTGGGCTCACAAAGGGGAAAAATGGGAATTAAGGAAATTCTCACTGTTAGAACCCTCACTCTCTGACAGCCTAGGGGTACCTCTGCCCTGTGGGAGTGCCTATCATTTTCTCAAAACTAACTTAATTTCTCAAAGCCATATGTCACAAAAGCAAGTGCTTCTTATCAAGACGTAAAACCTTGGCCCAGCCAATGATGGGTTGAATGAGAGAACAACATTCTTGCTGAACCCCGCCGTCCTGTGGCTGCTCTGGGCTCTGGCCGCGGTCTCTGAGACACGGACTTGGCCAATGTACAGAATCCGCATTCTAATAGCTCCAACGTGGAGCCTCTGCCTGCAGGAGAGGCACGTAGGCTGGCGTGCCCGACTTTGGAGCTACCCTCCAAACGATACCAGTGGAAAAGAACAACTGGTGCCCAGATTTCCCACCTGTCATCCTCAGTGAAATAACATAGCAGCCTCCTGGGTGAGAGATGGTATTGTGCCCACAGATCAGCTCACTCTTGGGCTGACCTTCTGCCTGGCAGAGAGTGAAGTACTGGTTTTATACAAGCGATTCCAGCAACGGGCTAAGACAAGCAGCATGTGCCAGGAATGGTCTTATTCTTGCCCTGCATGCCAGGCAAAGGAGGGCGACGCTTCAGTAACCAAATTTCTTCCTGGGCTGTTTTCAGCGCTAATAATGAAGGTGTTCCCTCTTGTGATTTTTTTCATTACAAACCTATTTAACACATATTCACTGAATGCCTACTATGTGTTTCCTTTCACGCTAGCACATAAGAAATGAGGGCGGGGGCAGCTAGGGATGTAGTTCAGTGGTAGAGAACATGCCAAGCCCCTGAGTTCCCTTCACAGCACCAAAAACTAAAAGATTAAAAAGAGATATGACGGTCAGGGAAAATGCTAGTCTTATCCCCGATCCCTCTTTTAGCTCACCGCACCTACAAGCAAAATCTTGGCCGGTCGTTTTCCTGGGTAATTTTTTTAGACACACTGCTA